CCCCCATGATGATAACGACATCATTTTTGGGTGTTAATTCTAGAAGGTGTTGTAGGCCTTCATCGAACTGGTCAACTTCAGCCTCTTCAGCACCAGTGGTTGGGGCATAGACTTGGACTATTGTGATGTTGAATGGTTTGCCTTGGATTCGAACTGAGACCATTCTGTCATTTTGGAGATTGTATCCCAGTACTGCTTTTCCTACTCTTTTATTGACTATGAAGGCTACTCCATTTCTTCTGAGGGATTCTTGCCCGCAGTAGTATACCTGATGGTCATCTGAATTAAATTCACCCATTCCTGTCCATTTTAGTTCACTGATTCCTAAGATGTCGATGTTCAGTCTTGTCATCTCTTGTTTGACCACATCCACCTTGCCTTGATTCATGAATCTTACATTCCAGGTTCCTATGGAGTATAGATCTTTGCAGCATCACATTCTCCTTTTACCACCAGATACATCTGCAACTGAGTGTCCTTTCAGCTTTGACCCAGTCGCTTCATTCTTTCTGGCGCTACTAGTACTAGCCCTCTGCTTTTCCCCAGTAGCATATTGGACACCTTCCGACCTGAGGGACTCATCTTCCTGCGTCATATCTTTTTGCCTTTTGGTACTGTCTATGGGGTTTTCATGGCAAAGATACTGGAGTGGGTTGCCATTTCCTTCTCCAGTGGATCACATTTTGTCAGAGCTCTCTGCTATGACCTGTCTGTCTTGGGTGGCCCTGCACGGCATAGCTCATAGCTTTATTGAGCAACGCAAGCCCCTTCTCCATGACAAGGCAATGATCCATGAAGGAGACTACAAGCTTACTTCAATCCATTTACTCAGAACAGATTATTAAGCTATCCAGCCTGTAATTTGACACATCCCCTTTGGATCCCTTTTTAAAATTAATGTTCCATCACCCTTGTCATGTCATCTAGCGCAGAGACTGATTTTAGGGACATGTCATATATTTGTTAGATCAGCAGTTTCATTTTTTTAGTTCTTTAAGAACTCTGGGATGACTGCCACTGAGAATGTTTTATTAACTTCAGTTTATTAGCAGGTTAAAGAAATTCATCTTTCACCTCCAGTGTTTGTCTCATTTTCTCAGGCACCTTTCCTGAAACCATCAGTTCAGGCACATTATATCTTTTGAAGACACATAAAAAGAATTCCTTCATTTTTTCTGTAATTTCCTTATCTTCTTTAGTAATTGACTTTTATGAAATGGTTCAACTGCCACCCCTTCCTGCTTCACAATTTAAAGAATTCTTCATTGTTGGCTTTGATGTTTTTACTACTATGTCCCTCAAAATACTTTTTTCCTCTACTATTGTCTCCTCTGATATCTCCCCTCAGTCTTCTCTTCTCCAAGTAAAACGTGCTCAGTTTTTTTCAATCTCTCCTCTTAGAGCTTTGTTTCTAGTTCCTGGTTCATCCTTGTTACCTTCCACTAAACCCTTTGCAATTTGTCTGCATCTTTCTTGAAGTGTGCCATCCCGAACTGAACACAATAATCAAGATGCAAATTTGATAAGCATCCCTGCCACCTTTTTGTCAAAGCCATTAATAAAGACATTGAAAAGCACTGGTCTGAGGACTGAGCTCTTTGGTACCCCACTTGCTACAGGCCGCTAAGGTGCCATTGAGAAGCACTCTCTCAGTCCAATTCTGTAGTCAACTATGGATCCACCTGATAGTTGCTCCAACTAGCCATCTTTTTGCTAGTTTCTCGATCGGAATGTCATGGGTACTCTGTCAAAAACTCTGATGAAGTCAACCTTTAGTATGTCCACAGTAGTCCCACAGTCCACAAGAGAGGTTACCTCACCAAAAAAAGGTGACTCAGTCTGGCAAACTTGTCCTTGATAAATTCATACTAGCTTCTAGAATTACTCCATTGTCTCAGGTGCTTAAAGACTGACTTCTTTATTATCTGCTCCAGAATTTTCCCAGGGATTGATGTCAGACTAATTGGTTTGTAGTTCCCAGGGTCCTCTTTTTTGCCCTTTTTGAAGCAGGGGACAAAATTAACTGTCCTGAACTTCACCCATCCTCCATGATTTCCCAAAGATAATTGACAGTGGTTCTGAGAGTTCATCTGCCAGTTCCTTTATTACTCTAGGGTAAAGCTCATCCAGTCCTGGAGATTTAAACTCATTCAAAGAAATGAGGTGTTCATTCGTTAATCTCCAACTTCAGTCCTGCACCTTCAGTTCATACTTCATTTCTGCCAGGAGCATTTTAGACCTGCTTTTGGGAAAAGATTGTAAGGGCTGGGACATGGGTAGTGGCTAGGACAGGCAGAAAGCCGGGACCAGGGTACCTGCTCAAGGTGGGGCTTCACAACCAGTTGGGGACTTGAGGCAAGCACAAATTATGAGTCCAAGGTCAAGCAGAGATGTTCAGTTAGAGCTAGGTGGGAACAAAGTGGAGCAGGGCACGAGCAAGGAAGGAACAAAGTGGAGCAGGGCTCAAGCAGGGCTGAGAGTTGCAGGGGCCAGAACACAAGGTCAACTTGCATTGCTGTGTCAAAGAACAGCAGTACCAGAAAGCCTTTTACATTGGCCTCCAGCTGCACTGACGATGTATTGCCAACTGTGTTGGGAAATTCCCTAGAGATTGGTGGCTTTTTGTTAAAGATATTCGTATAGGACTTAGCGCAGTCCACATTTTGTAGGCCATTCCACACAATCACTGGCTTTAAACATATCTAATGATATTATTCCACCAGCTTTCACATGTAACCTCTAATATGTTCAATACTCTTCTAGTCAAATCTGCCATCCGTTTTCCCACCATAAAACCACTCTGATCCACTTTAATATATTTATCAATGAATTTGTTCATTCTGTTTGCCAATATTGCACTAAATTTGCTTATCAGAATGTTGTGTGGAGCATTTTTGTAAGTACATAACCCAAGGAATAGCTGTATTTAACCCTCCCTCCTGTCCTTTCCCCTGCCCCTTTGTCCCTCCCTCCCGCCACCTCCCTCATGCCAAAAATCAACCCAGTTGTAACAAGAATAGAAATCTCTGGTCAAGTTGAGTCACTTGCTCATTGCTTCTGAGTCGAATTACTGATGTGACTTTAGTCAGACCTAGGAGCAAATCGCTTAAAACAACTGGTAATTTTTCTACACATTAAGAGCATTGTGGAAACACAGTCTCTAAATGGTTTAAAGTAGAACTATGTAATGAAACTGAATTCTGGAATGAATTAAAATGGATAGTTTGATCTGGGCTTTTTTTGGATCCTGACTGAAAAGAGACTGTATCACAAGGCCTTGTTAAGTTCTAGTAAGCATGATTTTGAGTGCTTCAGTGTGGTTTTCATGGTATCTTCAACCAGTACTAGTAATCTACCAGGTGTCCATCTTAATAAACTTTCAATTCATATTGGTGAGGCCAACGTAAAATATAGAATATTTTTTTACTTCTTGTCTTAAGTAAACAAAAGGCAAGAGAAGTCTTAGGGGATTCCTTTCAAGAATACAAAGCAGGTTACATTGGCATTATTCACCATTTAATTACATCCTGCCTTATTTAAACAGCAAACAAAAAACTTAGTGAGAAAATCATGTGTATACAAGTAACAAATCCAAAGAGAGAGTAAGAAAGACAGTTGGGAGTGAAAAAGACAGTTGGTGCACATTCTCAAGGCCACCTTGCTGGACTTCAGGCAAGGAGGAGCAGGAGCAGGAGCAGGAGGGGGCCTCAGAATGTGGGCCAGATCCAGATGTTGAGATGAGAGAAGCAAGGCCAAGCTCACCAGGTGGGCAGGCAGTCTCTGAGAATGACCAAGATGTTCTGTTAACAGAAGGTGGCTTGGAACAGGGGAGTTTCTCAGAGATGGACAAGGTGGCTATGGCTCTTGACCTCATGCTGTGACACTAGCTGAAAAGGGTGGCCCAATTAGATGAACAGTGTGCAGAGCGACGGCATGCTCATTTTCAGAGCAAAAACGGGATGGAGCTCAGGCATGCTGATAAAGAAAATTCTTTGAGGTGAATACTAAACTGGATTCAACAAACCACTCTGTGTATGCTCAGAGAGTCATTCTGTGTGTTTGTGCATCTGAGAAATGCTTTGATCAATAAAGAATGTTTTGCAAGAAATGTCTGTGGCTTTAAATGTGTGAAAGGAGGAACCCTGGCTCACAACAGAGCACTCCTAATGTTTTCCGCCAATTAAAAAGAATGTTGATGCAATCATCCAAAAGACTTGGATATTGCTTTTAGAAGTTGTCCTGGTTTACTCATAATGATATACCAGCATTCTGAGGGAACTCTAGCATATTTATCACAAGCAACTGTGTTTATAAAACAGTGCTCAAGATCACTGTTTGTAACCACTGTCTGATTAATCCTGGTGCAAGAGAGAGAGGATCTTTTATTCATGATTTATTTAGTGGTCTGGGCAAACAGGGAAATCTGGCTTTTCTTTCCCACTACAAGCCAGAGTCATAATCAACTGTTGGTTGTTCACCTGTCCCCCCAGAACTTTACTTTACTGTTATGTCTGATATGTATGTTTGGCAACTGATTCAGTGCACACAATCGTTTGGCTTATTTGGATGTAAAAACACTTCCATATGAACTAATAGAAGGAATAAGAAGCTGTGGCAAGAGCAAATTTGTTCATGTGCCATTTCCAGGATTGTAGAAAATTGTTATAATTTATTTGAAGACAATCAAACAAAATATAGAAAACTCACCAAATGGAATAGAAAAATCTATCCATCCCCATTTCAGTCTGTGTTAAAAAATAAAAGATGGGTTCAGTACTGTTAGAGACCACAAAAATATATTTTTTCCTACACACACCACTGTTAACTCCCCTCCCCATTTTCTGACTTATTTACATTCCAATAGAGCAGTATTATGCCAATGACACCTATGTTAAGACAAAAATATGCAATTTTTCAGGACTGGAAGATGTTGTTCTTTGCTTCCCTAACCATAATTGCTTATGGAAATGCTGAGTTGTATATTCTTTATTTCTTTACAGTACGCTTTGCACCTTACAGACCTCCTGACATATCTCTGAAACCACTGCTTTTTGAGGTACCCAGCATTACCACAGAGTCTGTATTTGTTGGCCGGGACTGGGTATTCCAGGAGATTGATGTACAGTTGCAGAGTGCTGATGCCAGTGTGAACAGAGGTGTGGTGATTGTTGGAAATATTGGCTTTGGAAAGACAGCAATCATTTCCAGACTGGTAGCACTGAGCTGTCATGGCACACGCATGAGACAGATTGCCTCTGACAGTCCCCATGCCTCCCCAAAACGTAAGTGGAGAGATGTATCAGTTGGATTAATGTATTGTGCTATAGGGTAGATTATATATCTCTGAAAAGGATGCATTTCCCTCTCCTTTATACATACAGTTTGGGACAATTCTTTCAACTGTGTGTATAAGCATTCCTTTGTAAGGATTGTGGACTATTCATGTTCCAGTCCTGTAGCATATGATCTTTGAATTGCAGTAGATTCAGTGTTCAAGTTGTTGCTGATAGCCTGGATGACAGCCATAGTACTATATCCTTCAGGGCGATAGTTGATGGTAAAGCGTGAGGAGGTAAGACTTAACACTTCCTTCTCTTTGCTGCACCACTCAGGTTGAAGACCGCCATGACCAGACTTCCTCCTTCCCTTTTACCCATGTTTGTTCCTGGAAACAAAAGATGTGTTGAGATTTACTGGAATGCATTTTAAGAAGGAGTTAGCATGAACTGTTCACAATGTTCAGGGCAGTTATCTAATTTAGCATTAAGCTAGATAGCTTTCTTCATTTTATTCCCATGAGAAACCCTACAGCCTGATATGGGCCTCAAGGGTTAAACAGGTACCAGACAATGTGAACTGCTCATCACATATCCCTCTTTCCTTAGTTAATAGTAAGCTAGGGCAGCTGAGCTGTCTCCCCTCCCTCCTACAATTTCCCACTAAGCAGACAGCTTGGGGTGTTTTCTAGCAGGCAAAGAGATCTCTCCTGTAAAAGATAGTATAGCTAGATATAACTGGCTTTCCACCTGAACCCCAGAGTGTACACCCTGGAGTGACATCCATCATTTCAGGAAGCCCTGCAATCTAAGCAGATAGTGTGCAAATTTTGCTTGTTTATTTTATCAATATATTTGTAATCAATAAAGCATTATCTATAATGGTAGTGTTTTTTCTTCTACTTTGAGTAACCTGGAATATAAAGTAGGGTGCCTAGTTGGACCAGGCTCCTGGGATTCAATGTAATTTCTCTGACCCCCTACCCATGTGTCTTTGAGGGTCCCAATCTTGTATTATTAAAGCATTTGTTGTAGGAGCTTAGTAAGGGAAGAATAAGCATGAAATAAAAGCAAATGTCACTTTAAACTCTTGCTACTTTATAGGTTCTCAGAATATGCTTGGTTTAATTGCTCAAAATTTTAAGATTGCATTGTCTAGACAATCTAGAACAGAGAGCTATGCTTGCTTCTTACAAGGTTGATAGGTGATACTGCCTTTTGAGTAATACACTCCCATTTGGATACAGATTGTATTGGCCAAGACAGTATGAGATCCCCGCTTATAGTACAGCAACATGGAAATGTCACAAGCAAGGTTGAATTTATCATAGCACCTATCCCAATCTAATGGCATTCGGGCTGCTATTTCACCCAATTTTGGGGATGTCTTCCCATTTATTGCAACTGTAGCTTGAATCAGAGTGTTAGCAGCAGTATGCCTATGAGAAGAGCTGGCTGGAACTGGGGGTCAGACTAGATGGCCCAGGAGACTTCTTCTGACTTGCTATTTTTCTGTGTTTCCATGTTATGTAATTTGTGCAGACTAGTATTTTGTTGCTGAGTCTGTTTAATGATAACAGATACAAACAGCTTTTAGTGGCTCCTTCACAATTATAAAGTTCTCCCTCTGGAAATCTGACAGAGATCAAGTCAAATGATATTTTAGAAAGCTATTTTCAGTTTCTAAGAGTATGGATCAGTTTTGGTTGCCTCAATCTACAGACCTTTGGCTGAGTTTTGTAGCATTTAAAATGTAAATAAAGGTATACTTGTGGATGGGCACTGTAGATGTGGCTTGCTTCATGTTTCTCTTTCCCTTTCTCTATTTCTGCATTTGGGTCTCATTTTCTGACACTCCCTTTTCACACATATTAACTTACATATGGGAAAGTAGGCTGACTTTTGTGATACATGGACATGATTTACTTGCCTTTTAGGGCTAGGTTGACAATTACAAATTAAACCACTTAAAAGAGTTGGGTGATAATAGAATGCTATGTAAATGGGTTTTTAGACAACTTGAATGTTGAGCACACTGCTTTTCACATTTCACAAGCACATTCCTTCTGCTAAGTTCATAATTATGATAATGTATACAAAATGAATTGAAAAACAGGTTAGGGTGTTTCTGCCACATATTCTTGAACCTAGCCATAGATCCATTCCTTAAAACTATCAGATAAAACCTGATCATATTCTGTCAGGATTAAAATCTTAAGTAAATGTTTCTATTGGCTGAAAGCCAGTCCAGAGAAGGATTTACTGGAACACTTTTGATGGGACAGAATAGTGGCTGATGTCCCATCTGTTTTTTCTTCATTACAGATGCTGATGCAAACCGAGAGCTTCCCCTCACTCAGCCACCTCCTGCTCATTCTTCCATCACTAGTGGCAGCTGCCCTGGAACCCCAGAAATGCGCAGACGCCAAGAAGAGACTATGCGAAGACTTGCTGCACAGGTACTATTTTTATTTCTTTTAAAGGTCTTCTTTTCATTCTGTTTTTCACTTGTTGTCAGAACCTGACTTCCTGATGTAGAAGCAAAAGACTCAGTAAAAACTGTTACTGCAATAATTAGGTATAAAACTTTACAGACCTAATAAAGATTATTATTATTGTGATACGGTACCACTCAACAGCCAAAGTTCTCTAGACTGTGGTATCCTCTTTAGTTCATGATGCAACTTAGAGCACCCCCTTGAAATACCCTTCTTCTTCATGGTCTCTGTGCATCACACACATGGGCTCTGCACCTGTGTGGAGTCTGCTTTCAGGAAGATGCTGTAGCTGAGATGTTTGGCAGGAACTCTTCTCTCAACCCTGTCCCGACATGGAGGAAGGGTTCCTACAGAATCCCTCCGTTGTTCTTCAAGTGCCATTGTGGGTGCACTGCAAAGTTCTTCATATCTAGTAGCTATCCTCACCTGCAAACAACCCTTTAACCTCTCCTCCTCTTCTAAAACCTTTGTTCTTTTCCCTGTCAAGTTTCTTACCAACCCTTCTTTTTTCCAAGTCTCTTATGCCTTAAAAAAAATTGCATCTCTACCACAACTTTTTATCTTTGCCTCTCTGCTTCTTTTCCACCTTGCCCATCCTGTCTTTCCTATTCACTTCCCACCTTACAATGACATTCAAACCACTGTTTGGGGGGGCAGCATTGTGGGTGCCTCCCAAAAAAAAACACAAAATAGATGGCCATTCCTTATATTTCTTCTGCCTGGGAGACAGCCATGTGATGGAGCCCTGCCTGCATTGCTGGGCCTTCATCAATCAGTCTAGGAATAAATAGCTGGCTGCTATATCAGGACCCTTCACAGAGTAGACCTCCACATCTCCTGAGTCCCCCCCCCCACTTTAGAGGCCCTGGCAACTCCACTGACTCCACCTGCCTCAACCACAGCTGCAGTTCCTGCCATGGAATCCCCATCAATGCTGGACCATTCCCTCAAGCCAAGCAGGTCAAGGCAGGGAAACTCAGCAAAAAGGCAGAGGGTTAGGGTGACAGAATCAAGCAAGAGAAGGATGGTGGAATCAACTACGCAGACTCTGCTCACCAGTCTCCATCATGAGAGCTCTGCAACCCAAACCTTAGTACCAACCCATTAAACTGCTTTCACCATCTCCATCTGCAAGGGGGCGATTTGCAGCCTGTTGCTTCTGCCACCTGAGTGTGTGCCCCTCGGTAGCCTCTGAATCAAGACATACCGCTCCATCATCCTTGATCCTATCAGAATCTCTACATGCCAAGCCTGAACACTGGTCATGCTCTACTCTATCAGACTGGGATGGAAGGTTGGACTGGTCATTACCATCCACACACAGAATAGTAGTGGGACTGCTATTGTGGTGGGACTGCTGTGGAGACTGATAAGCATCCTACTACTCACAGTGCCATGGGGGGCTTTGGCCCAACCCATACTTGGCCAACTGAGAACACTCTTGCACAGAGGCATCCCTGACATCACACTCTTCCAGGGCCCACTGTGTCAGAACCACTCCAGTCTCACAGGCCTTGCATGCAGCAGCATCCTCAAGCACCCTACCAACATCTCAATGATGCCAAACATCACCTGTGACTGCCTTAAGACCTCACCTCCTCAGAGGCAACACCATGCTTCTACTCCAGGTATTTGCAATACAAAAAGGGATTTCTTATGACCTTTGCCCCATATTAGAGGTGGCCATAAAGCACAGCACAAGATGATCTTACCGTGCCAAGTGGAAAATCTTCTCCAGCTTTGTTGCCCAACTCAGCTTCAACCTGACCAGATGTTCAATACAACAACTCCTCCTCTTCCTGAATTCCCTATTTCAACATGGACTCAAGGCAGTGTCCATTCACATCTATGCAGCAGCAGTCTCAGCCTTCCAGTCTCCAATCCAGGGGTTCTCCACTGTGTCTCACTGCTTTACTCACCAGTTCCTCTGAAGCCTCAAGAACTTTGCCCCTCCCTCGTCTTCCCCCCAACACCAGCCTGGAGCCTCTCCGTCATGCTCCAGACTGTCACAAAGAAGCCATTTGAGTCCATGGGCACAGTGAAACTAAACCTACTCTCCTGGAAAACCATCTACCTGGTAGTGATCATTTGGCCTACTGTTCCAGCAACCTGGCTGCTCTACAAATAGACCCACCATACCTGAACTTCCGCAAAAGGAAGCTCCACCAAGATCCCCTCTTCCTTCCCAAAACTAGTCTCAACTTTCTAGCTCAACAAGGACATTGTCCTGTCAGCTTTCTTCGCATGCCCCCACCCCGCAAAAAAAATCTAGCCAAAGCAGCACCGTACACTCTTATGTGCAGAGAGTCCTGGTCTTCTACAGATCACCTCTCACAAAGACTGTTCATATGGTACAGTGACAGGAATAAAGGCTTTCCAATATCCTCGTAATGGCTCACCTGACCCTGACCTCTCCCTAACCTATTCGGCCCATTAAGGGGTCACTCAGTACAAGCAACAGCAACCTGTACAGCACTCCATGCTGGCATACCCCTATCTGACCTCTGCAAGGTACGTAGCCACATGGTCAAACCATCAACCTTCAATAACACACTACTGGCTCAATGTGTGTGCCAGAACAGACAGCACCTTCAGCAGAGCAGTTCTCTCCTCCACCCTACAGTAACAATGCCACCTCCCTCCAGCAGGTAAAGTTGCCATTCAGCTATATGTATGATGCACAGAGACCATGAAGAAGAAAATAAGGCTGCTTACCTATGACTATCATTCTTTAAGTGGTAATCCATGCATTCACACAACCCACTTTCCTTCTCTTTGGTGACATCTATCAATGTTGTAGCCATCCTAACTGCTGCACAGGTGGGATACTGGACCCTCTTCCTCAACACAGGACCACAGTGTCAGTGTCAGGTCACTTGAGTTGAGGAATTGGGCAGGAAACTCTTCTATATACTGGGGTCGGGGAGGACTTCCCACCAAAACATCTCAGCTATAAAATCTTCCCTATAAAAGGCTCTGTGCACATGCAGAGCCCATGCATGTGAATGCACAGATAACCACTCGAAGAATGACACTTACAAGTAAGCAACTTTACTTTTCCTGCAGAGTCCTCCTCCTGCCACACTGTACCCATGGAAAGCATCTCTAGTCAAAAAAGAGGGTACTCTGAAGGTCAGGTTTACCAGCTGTAAAAGATAGCTCTTATCAACATCCTAAATTTCACCCTCTCTCAGTTTATAAGCTAGTGGAAAGCCAGGTAAAATTATCAGGTATCTGGCTTCCCATTGCAGGACCTAAGTCTGTAGCTTCCCTTCTGACTCAGAATTGGTTCATAGGCCATAACTTCTCCCAAACTGAGGCTGAGTCTCACTTCATTACCCTCCTCATAATAGCCTCCTCTTACCAACAAGTCCGCCAGGCCTAGTTTGCTATAATATAGCCCGTGGAAATGATTGACAGACAGAGATACACACACATTTTGTGCAGATTCCCAAATCCACTAAGTATTGCAAATGCTGTGGTGTAAGTGAAAGTCTGAAATCTGGGCTAGTTCAAACTGCTCCTCTTCATCAATCATGACCAGCAGTGGAGAGGGATCTGGAACTTTGATGGGATCTCAAGAAACCACTGGTGAAAGCAGAGATTGGTGAACCCAAAGAGTGAGAGGCAAGTGCAAGTTACGTGGTTCAGCATTCATCTTCGTAAGCCTTTTTGCCCTGATCTATTTATTCGTGCAATGACTGTTGCAGAACTCTAGTTCCTAAAGAAATACCTCCATTTGTGGCACACTAGCAGGTGCTAAGCCTGAAGGGAATGACTGGGGTTGGTAACCATATTGGCAGGAACCATATTTACAAAGGGACAGGAAGCTTTGATTGTAGATGTTGAAGATCATTAAAAGGCTGGGCTCAGCTTTCTGTCCATAAAGTCTCTGAGGCTTCAAAGGCAGCAATAAAGTGGAGGTCTTTCTCCCAGCTATAAGACTTCAGTGCCCATCTCATTTACTACTGCCTGCGTCAACCTGGTCATCTTTTTGCTACCAAATTAAGATAGACCTTTATCTCAAGGCCTCAAGATATACATGAATAACTGAGGGCTTACACATCCCAGGTATTTTACTGGTCTATTCATTATATACCTCTTTATTTTCCTCCAAAGAGCCCATAGTGCTCCTCTTCCTGAGAGTCAGTGAATGGCCCAAAGCTTCAGGGTTGACTGGAGATAGGAGTTCAGGGCTTCTCAGTCACAGTCCGTTACACCACATTGGCTCTTCAGTCCAATGTGGCTTTTTTATAACCACATTGTTGTAGCCCTTGTAGTGGACTGTGTCTTTAAAAGTTCCTAGGTTTAGGATGCTCTCTTCCCAACTGCTTTTTTCCTCTGCTTTTGCTTAACCCATAGCTCTTGTAGTGCTGCCTTACCAGTTTTTGGACTATAGATAGGTGAAACCAGCCTTTGGGCACTGGATTACTACTGCAACTGATTTTTGTCTTTCTGCTGTGAGGAGGCCCTTCAGACATTATTAATTGGTCAATATTGGGGTTAATAAGGGAATTGGAGACCAAAGAGTAGTTTACCTTCCCAGTTCTCCTTGATCTGTTTAGTCTTGAGGGTTTGGCTTGGCAAGCCTCCTTTCTCCCCTCTTATGTCTCAGGATCAACCCAGCTGACTACTATATGGAACAAACTAAAATTAATCCAGGTATGAGAACCAAACATTACTTGTTGTGCCTCCGTATGCTGTCCTGTGCAAGTAGGTGCACAGACTTGCTGCCCAAGTGACTTCAGGAGAAGCAAGGTTCTTTTGAATGGGAATGTTGTTCACCAAGGGAGTGGCCTGGATATTGAAGCCACCATTGTCCTGGATCTGTCTCCCTTGAGGGGGTAAAGACAAAGATGCCCACAAAAGCAGAAAAGTCTACACATGTTGTTCTTTTAGAAATCCAGAGTGGAACTTGAAGCTGTGGTCTTATGACCCAATATACCAAGCAATGTTTTCTATCTATTACTGCCTGTCTTAGCAAAGAGCTGTGCTTTAATTCTTCAAATGGTATGGCAGTTGCAGTATTTTTAAAGGATTAATTCTTCATTCTTCCCAGTTCCTATTGGCACATGCCTTTAGCATAGGATTCATTTTCTTGATCAAGTGAATGAAAACTAACAAGCAAGTGCCTCTTTCATTTCATATATGTCCACTGAGGAACTGATGTTTGTTCCCTTTTTTGTAGGTTGTTGCTTATCATTACTGCCAAGCAGATAATGCTTACACCTGTCTTGTGCCAGAGTTTGTACACAATGTAGCAGCCTTGCTCTGCCGCTCCCCACAGTTTGTTGCCTACAGAGAGCAGCTGTTGCGGGAACCACATCTGCAAAGCATGCTTAGCCTACGATCCTGCGTACAGGATCCCCTGGCTTCTTTCCGGAGGGGAGTTCTGGAGCCCTTGGAAAGTCTTCATAAAGGTAATGAAAAACATGAGGCAAAATAGAAATAGTGCTTCAATATTTGATAGCAATATATGACTGAATCCTGACTTTAAACCATCTTAACCATTTTTTATGTATATATATCTCCCACTTCTCAGAACGCAAGATCCCCAATGAAGATTTCATCATATTGATTGATGGTTTAAATGAAGCTGAATTTCACAAACCTGATTATGGGGACACAATAGTGTCTTTCCTCAGCAAAATGATAGGGAAATTTCCATCCTGGCTGAAGCTGATTGTGACAGTTAGAACAAGTCTACAGGTAGGTTGAGAAGTAGTTATTTTAGTTTTAAATTCAGTCCTTAAAGTCAAAATATGGACAGCTATTTGTATCTGTACTTTGCCTGAATCCTAATAAATCTTTTACCCTCTTATCACCAAAACCAAGACTTTGAGGGGTAACAGGTAAGTTTGCAAGAGAAACATTACATTTTGAGTTCATGCTAGTGGGATTTCAATGCAGTGTTCTGAGTAAAGCCTGTAATTTTGCTGAACTCTCCTAGGGATACAAGGGGCTTCAGAGAAGCTGAAGGGACCCTAGTGGAAACTTTAGTCAGTTGTTCCCCAGGGACCAAGAGTGCTCAGGAACTGAGGACACTGAATTTGTTTTTTACTCTCGGTGGTAGCAGCCATTATAAATAGATGCTACTGTATCAGGCCTTGCATCCTCAGATGAGGTTGCTTACTGGTGCCAGGCTGTCAATCCTCTAGTCCTCTCAATTGGTTCCAAAGACTGTGAACTGATCATTCTTCTTTGTAGCCTCTGTGTATCACACATATGGGCTCTGGGCTGGGTGGAGCTCAGTTTGGGAAACTATAGCTTAGGGATCCCTCCTTCACTGTCCCAGCATGTATCCTTTGAGCTTCATGGTGAACTTTTCACATTGTTTGCTGTTCATAGAACAATTGCTGATGTGTTTATTATTCTGCTATATCTTTCTGTCCTGCCATTTTTCTTACTGTATTGGTTCTTTTCTGTCCACAATCTCTGCAATCACTGTGAGGGCCACAGTGTGTGGATGGGTGCTTGTTATGTCAGTAAACAGCCTCCTCCTGGCAGGTGTTCACTGTATCTTTCCTAACTGGGAGTGGACACACCAAGTAGAGGCTTGAACACATGGTTAGGCCTTTAAAAACATACAAGTTGTAGTAGCTCTGAGGTTGTGGGCTTCTCTTTGGAGGAATGCCTTTGAAACTGTGGAGCTGTTGGCAGGAAGCAGGACAATAATGGTAAATATTGTCTTTAGGTCTCCAACTTCCTTTTTTTTTTTTTTTTGTCCTTCCATCACCCCACTTTAGAACTTGTCTGGCCTCCTGTTCTATCAGTTTTTGTTCATAATATTTGAAATTCTTGGATCCTTTTCATTATATGGGAGTATTACAGGATGGAACTTGACACTCTCCCCCTAACAGTGCCATTAAGGTTACAGCCCCATCACCAGCATTGTTGAAGAAGTGGATACTTTTCTTGTGAAAGCTGTCATACTATACCACATTCCCACATATTAGTTTCACAACGGTTTCTATACCAGATTCACCATATCAGAGAAGAATGGAAGACTTCAACTAATCTGAAGGATCTGAAGGACGATATTTCCATATTGCCATGCAATCAAGAATATCAATTTTCTTTTCCATTTTACCATTGAGTCCAATATCTACGACTTTTGGATGTTGTGCTTTGGACTTGCCACCACACTAAGTGTCTTCAATGAGTGCATGTTTGTGGAGGCTTACCTTCATATCCAAGGGCTGGATACCCCTATATTGACAACTAGGTGCAGGTCTAAAAGAGAGGAGATCATTTGTACTGTCTCCCTGACATTTTTTATAGAAACTTACTCTGTATCTGAATGAAGAGAAAGCTCACTTGAACCCATCTTAGAGAAACCAGTTCATTGGGGTAATCTTGGATTTTGCAGTGAATCAAGATTCCTTTCTCCGTGTCAACATTGGCATGCTGTGTAGGAAGTTTATTTCATCTTTATTTTAAAGGTGTTATTCCATCCCACCAACCTGTAGAGTTTTTGTTGTATTAATGCTACAGATAGAGAAGCTTAAACAGTTTTAAACATACAGGCCTTGCCACAGATGTGCCCTACAAACCCCGTTTGTAGAGAATAACCTAGCTCGTGACACAATTCATTCTAAAACATTCAAAACTTGCATACACAAAGGGCTACATTTTATAGGTTTTACTGAAGGAAAGCACTGCAACAAATTAATACATGAAAAATATAAGGAAAAACTACCATCTTATGCCTGTGCATTTGATTTCTTTTTCCAAAATGAAAAACTTTAGAGTCTATAGAGTGCATTAGCAAATAAAAAATACATAAAGAGGGTCAGTTCAACCCTCTTTTTACCTTATCCTTTTGATTATGGTTTTGAGAGGTAATTTGAAAATTTGACCTTAACTTTATTTTAATTTAGTTTAACTGTATCCCACAGGGACATTTAACAGAACTGTACTTGATATAACTAAGAACTGGTGCTTTTTTTCTCCTCCTCCTCAGTCCCTTTCCCTTTTGTGTTATGTCTTTAGGACTGTATACCTGAGAACAGGCACTGTCTTGTTATTGATCAATTTAAATCACTCTTGGAATGTCTTTTGACTTAAGAGCAGAGTAAAAACTAAATACATATTAATATACAGTAGTCCCATTTGGTGCCAATATGACAGCAACACCATGTGTAGCCTCTGATTTTTCCTTCAGGGAGGTGAAAATATGGCAAGATTCATACCTCAGTGGGAGATTAAATGTATTCATGTACCATCTGATGCTCTGGAATGTTATTCTTTTCTCTCTCTTTTTATAGGAAATAATTAAATTATTGCCCTTCCATAGAATATTCCTGGATAAACTGGAAGAGAATGAAGCTATAGATCAGGATCTCCAAGCCTATATCCTACACCGCATACACAGCAGTTCTGAGATACAGAATAACATTTCTCTGAATGGCAAAATGGACAACACAACCTTTGGCAAACTGAGTTCTCATCTCAAAACCTTGAGTCAAGGATCGTACCTGTACCTTAAGCTCACATTTGATCTTATAGAAAAGGGCTATTTGGTGTTAAAAAGTTCCAGCTACAAGGTAGTTCCTGTTTCCCTTTCAGAGGTGTATCTACTGCAGTGCAATATGAAATTCCCAACACAGTCTTCCTTTGACCGGGTAATGCCTCTCTTGAATGTGGCAGTGGCATCTCTGCATCCTCTGACTGATGAGCATATTTTCCAGGCCATCAATGCAGGGAGTATTAAAGGTACCTTAGAATGGGAGGACTTTCAACAGAGGATGGATAACCTCTCCATGTTTCTTATCAAGCGCAGAGATATGACCCGAATGTTTGTCCATCCATCTTTTCGAGAGTGGCTCATTTGGAGAGAAGAAGGAGAAAAAACCAAGTTTCTCTGTGACCCAAGGTAAGTAACCCATCAATTCTGACAAGGAAAGCTGACTGAGAGATCATGTCAAAAGTGACCCTAGGTGATGATACTGAGATACAACTTTAAGAAAACTAGCACAGCGCTTTCTATATTTATACCATAACTCAGCATTGGCTGAGGATAAACAACATTGCCTGAAGCAGGAATGGAAAATTAGTTGATAATAACAGTTCAGTGATCTGCATCTATCTGTGACCATTCTACTTTATTTATGGAGGACTGATGCAAGGAATGTGAAAGGACATTGGCAAGTAGGCAGTCTTTGAGGTCATGCTGCTTGCCTTTGATGAGAGGAAGGGAAATTTTTAAGATATTTTTGAGAAAAACATGAACACCATGCAAGATGCATCAGTGGCACATACATATGTCGGAACATGAGTCTGCCTCAGTCACGTATAAAGCAGGAAGTGGGAAGATGTAGTTTTTAGAGCAAAAAATATGGGATGGGTGGAGGAACTGAAGCTTTCCCTAAAATTTTAATTCATTTTACTTATTTCTGTACTTCCCAGTAGAGAAATCTCTCTCAGTGGCTCACAAAAATTAAAATACAAAATGCATAAAATAAGATCTTTAACATAAAAATGTAAAACAGTTCCTACAAATAGTTAATACAATATTGGGCTATGATTGAAAATAATCTTTTGTTGGTTGCCATCTTCCAAGCCTCCTTTCAAGAAGACTCAGAGAAAAGCTTCATATGACAATTGTAGTATTTGGGTAGGTTCATATTAGAGGAGCATTAGGTAATGTTGTCCTGAGCTGTCTAAGGGTTTATAATTGAATTGTCTTAGAAACTATCAGTACTCAGACTTTCTGGTTTCCATTGTTATTCTAACTGTGGTATTTGCAGAAGCTACAGTCTCCAGTCTTCCAGGGCAGACCCATAGGGAGTGCTTTGTGTAGATCATTTTGGAGCTCCTCACACTCCTTTTGGTTTAACAACTAAATAATTCCCTGTCATCAGCAAACTTGGTCATAGAATCATAGAATAGTAGACTTGGAAGAGGCTGAGTAGGCCATTGGGTCCAACACCTACTCAGTGCTGGACTCCCAGTTAAACCATCCTTCTCAGATAGCTATCAAGCTGACACTTGAATGCCTCTTGAGAACCTACAACTTCCCTAGCTAATTGGTTCCATTGTCATTTGCTCTAATGATCACATTGATAGGAAAATAGTCAAGGAACACCTCATTACTTTGAGTTCAAATCTCTAGAACTGAGTGCTAGGCTGAAAACTACAGAATCAAATTCAGTAGGGATACATACTAAGCTCTGCACCTAGGAAAAGGGGACCAAAGCACACCTAAAAGTTGGGAAATACAAGGCTCAACAAGTGCGAAGGATCTTGGAATTGCTGTAAATCACAAGCAGAATATGAGTCAACAATGTGATGTGGCTGCAAAAAAAGGCAAATGCTACATTGAGCTACTTGAATTGAAGCATTAGTTCCAAATCATGTGAAGTACTGGTTCCCCTTTATGCAACATGGGCATGTTTAAGCTGGAGAAAAGAAGACTGAGAGGATGTATGATGGCATTCTTCTGGTACTTGAAAGATTCTCACACAGAGGAATGCCAGGACTCTTCTTGATCATTGCAGAGTTACAGGAATCCAGATTCCTGCTGAACCTCAGGGAAAAAACCTCCTGACTATTAGAGTAATATGACAATGGAACCAATTATCTAGGAAGGTTGTGGAGGCGCAGATGTTCAAGATGCAACTGGTCAGCCATCAGTTAGGGATACTGTTAGCAGGTCTGGAGAAAGGGGGAATGTCAAACTCCCCTTGCTCCATTGCTTGCATCAGTTGGACCACAGTTGTTTGGATGGATTTTAATTGAAAGCTTCCCTAGTTACATGGACAAAAGATCTATTTAAACTTCAACCAAAATAGGGTAATTAATGCTCCATAAGCAATATCATGTTTTACGGTATACATCACAGAAGGGTTCTTCTTCCCAGGACATAACTGCTGCCTTCAGGAACTCCTGAATGAGTAGCCCATGAAAAACCTACAGCAGTCCCTTGTGCTGGCTTGAATCTAACACAAAACTCTGTTCAATCCCCAAGTCTTTTGTGCTGTCCAAAGCAGAACTAGCAAGTTGCTTATTTAGTCCAACCCAGGGGCTACTGATAAAAGCTTTCTTTCTCACAAGGAGGCAGAGTTAAACTGCCTGTAATCTGACTCTGCACCCCAGCCCAGGAACTCAGCTTATTTGTAGAATCTTCTAAATCATGTACACCCCTGCACTCTCTTTTTGCCCATCTTTCCACATGCCCTAGATTTCTCCCACCGTCACTGCAGTTTCACCTGAGTGTCCTTCCCTTGCCCTCTCCTCATCTTCCTTCTATCCTCCCACTTTCCCCTTCACTTCCTTTCATCCCTGCCCCACTTAAGGTGTTGCTCATTTTGGGTAGGATAGCAAACTTCAAGCTGCACAAATAATGTGACATCACTGGCTTGAGGCATTTCTTTCACCAGGTGTCCTTTCCCTGCCAGTTGTGTCATCCAAAAAGCCTGAGGCTGCAGGCACCATCCATAAGGCAGTCAACTTGTTGGAATTCCAGTAAGAGGTGGCAAACCCCACTGCCTCTTCATAGTTGCTTTAACTTTTAGATCTTCATTGAGTAGGCAGCTGGACCTGATGGCCTTATTGCCTCCTCCTCCTTCCATCTCTATTATTTTGTGATTTCACATTATCAGTTAACTTTAATAGATTAGTGAGGGAGGACTTTCCAGCATGTGGAAACCATGCTGATTCTTTTTTTAGCAGTACTTCTCCTTCTGGATGCTTACTAATCCTATCTTTAATAATGCTTTCAACCAATTTCCTCAAAACAGACATTAAGTTAACTGGCCTGGATTCTTTTTAGAAATTGGTGTAACATTGGCTGTTTCTCGGTCCTCTAGAGCTTAGGCTGATCTTAGGGACTTAATACATATTTTTGTAGGATGGTCAGCAATTTCATATTTGAATTCTTTAAGAACTCTAGAATTAATATCATCTGGGCCTGGTGATTTGTTTTGTCAATACAGTTGAGAATTCTATCTTAAGACATCAGTACTTGCCTTGGTTCCTCAGACTTCCTTTCTGAAAACATTTGTTTAGGCACAGGTATCTGTCCTGTATCTTCTGCAGGTGTCTGTCGTGTATCTTCTGCAGGTATCTGTCCTGTATATTCTGCAGTGAAGACGGTTGTAAAGAATTGGTTCCACTCCTCTGCAATCTCTTATCCTTTGTTAGTGCACTTTTAACTCCATTATCAGCCAATGGTCCACTGCCTTCTAGGTGTTTTCTTGATTCTTATATATTTATTGTTGACCTTGATGTTGTTAGCAATATGCTCCTCAAATGCTTTTTTGTGTCTCTTACCTGCTTGCGCTTCCCTTAAGCAAGCTAGTGATCTCTTTTTCTCATTTGATCAAGACTTCAATTTTCTGAAGCCTTCTTTTCTCAAATAGCTTCCTTGACATGGCTCAGTAACTATGCTGGTGACTTTCTGACTTACTGCTCTCATCCCTAACTTGTGGTATGCATGGTATCTCAGTTTCTATTATTGTGACTTTTAGGACTCTCAAAAATTTTCAAGAATTTTTTTCTCTTTACTCTCCCTTTCAGCTTCCTTTTTACCAGTTCCCCCATTTAGAGAAGTTTTTTTGTTTGAAGTCAGATTGACTGTTGGCAATCTTCTATATAAATGTATATTAAATCTGATAGAACTGTGGTCACTATTTCCACTCCATTTGGTCCAGTTGGTTCTCATACTAGGTTCTGTGCAAACTTACTAATGATTAAATCGAGTATTGCTTCCATTCTTGGAAGTTCAATGACCCATTGTTCTAGGGCATAGCCACTTAGAGCAACAAAAAATGTAACCTTGCTGTCAGAACTGGAACCACTCTTCCTTCTTCTGAGGCTTCTCCGATTTCATTTTTCATCACAAGCTCACCCCAAGCTTTCTGTTCTTAGTTCAAAATTAGTTTTGGAGCCAGGTATTGTTATGTACACTAACTCTGTGGAGTAGTTCACATCCTTTAGATATTCAGATCTGCTGAACTCTACCCTGTTTAAAGTACAGAGCAATGTTTCCATTAGCACACCCCTCCCTGTGCTTCCTATAGAGCTTAGATCCATGACTGCATCCCACTTGTTCTCTCAATTCCATCAGTTCTCCATAAAGTCCACAGTATCTAGGTTTTCATTTAGAATCATAGAATAGTAGAGTTCAGAGTAGCCAGAAGGCCATTGGGTCCAATCCCCTGCTCTGTGCAGGACACCAAGTGAAACCATCCCTCTCAGATGGCTATCCCATTGTGTCCTGAATGCCTCTAGTGTGGGAGAACCCAAAACATCCCTAGGTAATTGGTTCCATTGTCATACAGCTGTAACAGTCAGGAATTTCTGCCAGAACCTGGCTTCCTGTAACTTGAACCCATTATTCTGTGTCCTGCACTCTGGTATGATCGAGAAGGGATCCTGGCCTTCCTCTTTGTGACAAACTTTCAGTTATCTGAAGAGTGCTATCATACCTCCCCTCAGTCTTCTCTTTCTGATGCTGAACAGACCCAGGTCTTTCAATCTCTCCTCAGAGGGCTTTGTTTCCAGTCCCTGGATCATCCTTGTTGCTCTCCTCTGAATTCCTTCCAGTTTGTCTGCATCTTTCTTAAACGGTGGAACCCAGAACTGGACACAGTCCTCCAGATGAGGCCTAACTGGTGCTGAGTAAAGGGGAATGAGTAGTTCACATGATTTAGAAGCGATACTTCTATTTATACAGCTTAAAATAGCATTTGCCCTTTTTGCAACCACATCATATTCTGTTTGTCATCTATAACACTTCCAAGATCTTTCTCACTTACAGTACTGCTTAGCCAAGTAATGATACCTTTGCTTTGCTTTTTTCCCCTTTTTATTTGAAAAGCAAGACATTTCTGGCTGAACTCATTTCCAATTGAATGAAAATATATGTTACTG